TTTAAAATTAAATTGAAATGGCCTATGAAAATATTCCAGTCGCTATAATAATAAAATTCATTTTTTTATAAATAGTTTGAAATTTTTTTAGTCTTATTAGAACAAGATTCATTTAAAATTAAATTGAGAAATGGCCTATGAAAATATTCCAGTCGTTATAATAATAAAATTCACTTTTTATAAATAGTTTTAATTTTTCTAACTCTTATTAGAATAAAATCCATTTAAAATTAAATTCAAAAATGAAAATATTCCAGTCGCTATAATAATAAAATTCACTTTTTTTATAAATAGTTTGAATTTTTTTAAATCTTACTAGAATAAGATCCATTTAAAACTTAATTGAAAAATGGCCTATGAAAATAATCTAGTCGTTATAATAATAAAATTCACTTTTTATAAATAGTTTTAATTTTTCTAAATCTTATTAGAATGAAATCCATTTAAAATTGAATTCAGAAATGAAAATATTCCAATCGCTATAATAATAAAATTCACTTTTTTATAAATAGTTTGAATTTTTTTAAATCTTATTAGAATAAGATCCATTTAAAATTAAATTCAAAAATGAAAATATTCCAATTGCTATAATAATAAAATTCACTTATAAATAGTTTTAATTTGTTTAAATCTTATTAGAATAAGATCCATTTAAAATTAAATTCAAAAGTGAAAATATTCCAGTCGCTATAATAATAAAATTCACTTTTTTATAAATAGTTTGAATTTTTTAAAATCTTATTAGAATAAGAATTTAATTAAAATTAAAATTAAATTGAAAAATGGCCTATAGAAATATTCCAGTCGTCATAATTCAAAAACTACTTATCTACTTTGACATGTAACATATTGCTGTTACGTAAGAAAGAACACGAAATCGCATAATGAATTTCCAAGTGTAATTTGTCATTGAAAACACGAATACACATGCATATATATACCTAGTTTTCCCGCGTACATGTACAAGATGAACCCGAAATTCGCGTTCTACATACATATGGCAATACTGTGGCGTGTATTTGCATGCTACGAAGGATGTGACAGGCATATTTGGTGTCGACACGACGATGTATTTCCAAATGAACGGGATGTCTCCGTGTCCGTATGCGCCGATGGAATAATCGCATGCTGTCAGGTCGTTCTATGCAGGACAAACAATCGAACCGAGAGATTTGAGTGATATAGAGTCACAGCTCCCAAAATTTATTTAAAAAAAATTCGTTTTGATCGCAACAACTCTACGAGAATTCTGCAATATTACAGAGAAAGCACGAGAAATTTCCTTGTCACGCTACAATATAACCGAGGAAGACCTTCTCTTCGAAAGAAACGGGACGATGATGCGATGATTCACACAGACTGATCGAATTGGATTTATTAATTAAACATTTTTTCGTCGTAAAAAAACAAAAACAATGTCGAAGGTGCGTTTATCTCGAGTATAGTAGAGTGCGAATCGAAGCGTGAGTCGATTGAAAACGATTGGAAATATCTAAACAAGGCACAAGACTGTTGTTCGAAGAATGGATGGTTCGTGAAAAGTTCATGCATGCAAAAGGGAAGTATTTAATATCTATTCTCCGGGTGGTTATTTTTGTTTTTCTCGTAATATCTCTTCGTAGAACAGATCGCTTCTACCAACCAGAGGGGTAGACGGGAGCGACTTGAATTCGCATTCTGTATCATCATTATCGTGTCACCCTCGTATCGTAGCTCAAGCGACAATTAGAATTGTGAGTAATCAACGCATATCGCATATACGCGCTTATATATTAATTTGACCCGCGTGCCATTCCATTTTGAGATATATCGCGCTCTTCGTGATAGCCATAGTAACGATAGTAAGTGATAACGGTAGTAAGTAGGATGATTGCAACGGCGACAGTAATGACGATGGCAATAATATTAATCATAATTAAATGAGTAATAATTATCGTAATCATAACGTGACATTTGTTAATATCAGATAATCAACATTGTAATGTATATGTATACACGTCTGTACACAGGGTAACCCGGAATTATCCGGGGGGCTCCTCATCTAGAAATTCCTTTGGTCGATTTAGACGCGCTCTTTCTTTGCTAAAGACGGACAGCTCGTGGAAAATTGATACTCTGAGAATGATATTAGGATATTCGATTGAACGCAAAGGAGTTTGAGAAAATGTTCATCGAAGCAAAAGTTGCGGGGGGAGGGAGGGGGGGGGATTCGTAGGTGAAAGGAGCGACGATAGTTCCGAGCCACCCTGTATATATTGTAGTGTTCCTTTTTTTTATGTATATATGTATATTTATATATATTCATATTTATAATTATATAATATGTATTATTTATAATCGTGTGTGTATATTATATTATATATTTCATTATATTATTTAACACATTCTTTTGTACAAGTAAATTAATTAAGAATAAGTACAACTTGGTAGCAAAGAGAGATAGAATTATTATTCACTGTATATTTTATATCGTAGTGAGAAGAGAGAGAGATATATATCTTATTTCATTTATTATTTAATATTCTTTCATTACCTTTATTATGTTTCAGACCGTAATGCTGACGGTGCCGGCATTCGGCTTTCGGAGACGCTTCCCCGCCTCGAAAAATCTCTCATCTTTTTTTCTCCCTCTTTTTTTTTTCCGATACCCGATATGATTAGGCTTGTGACCTTCCGCGCTGCTCGTCGACGCTAATTCAGTATCGCGGGGCTCGCTAGGCGCGACGTCTCGATTTCTAGAGAAGAGGTAGAAAAAACAGCGAAAACACGACGATAAAATCCCGCGACGCGATCGCGGGCGATTATTACTAGAAATATTACACGAGGGACGAGGAGTGAATCGCCCTCGATTCTGATTATCCTCGGGACGTCACGTGCGAGATCGCGATGAACGCGCGACAGCGCGAACGATCGAAGCGGAAGCGTCGCATCTCGACGATCGCGTCTTTTTTTCTTTTTTTTTTTTCTCTTTACACGAAACACGATTATTCTAGCTCCGTAGAATCGTCTCTATCCAAAATAAGTAACTCGCAAAAATGTAATACCCACGAAGAAACTTCCGGCACTTCGTCATTTTTGCAATACGATTCTCGATAGATTTTTGTTTTTTTTTTTTTTCTCACCCGCTCTCGGCCGTTCTGTTCCGCTGTCGCCTGTCGACGGCGAGGATCCACTGTCGGATATAAATAAAGAGCGCGGCTTCCTACGTCTACTTCCTCTTATGGCTTATTACGACAAGAGCACACGTTGACAAATAATAGGATAAACGTTCTTGCATGCGTGATGTAGAGTGCTACTTGTTTGAAACGCGTGGTCCTCTTTCTCCTCGACTCTGCGCTAGCTTGTGTAATTTCTTCAGCACCATTATGACCTACTATTGGATTTTAATTTCGAACCCATTGACCGGGTTCACGCCCCGATGGCGTATTTGATCACCTCGATTTGCGCGGCTCTTTCTAGCAAATCTTGTGCGACTAGTTGGGGCAAGAGATATGCATCGCATGTCTAAACGAGCGTATGTGTGTGTGTGTGTGTAATATGCGTTACGGATGTCTTCGTTCGTACAATAGAGCCTCCTCGAGAGATTCTTGGCGTCTCGTCTGAGCGCCCTACCAGTCCAAAGGTGTCTCATTTTTTGACATACGTAATTTTATATCCATCTGCGATATCACAAAATATATAACGAAACGGAAGTTCATCGAGATCACACGTAACAAAGATACAATATATTCGATACTATGTTATGTAATATACGAGATTCTTGATATCGTAATTGACGTTTAACAAAAGACGCGATAATTACTGCTAAGACCGACTAAATCGTTATTCAATGTAACGCGATTCATCATGATAACTTAATGGATAACGAATATCTTCGCGTGTTCCCTCAGCACACGATCGTGCCGTGCGCAATTCCGGAAAATCGGAATATACGAAACGAAAAAAAAAAAAACGAAATATTTCCTTTCATATTGCACGAGAATGTCGAATGAATCCTCGGGGCAGAACGGCCAAGATAGATTATATTCGTAATGAGATTATGTTCGTAATTTTAAAACGATACGCGCGCTCGACGTGCATTCCTTTCGCGCGTTAATTATATCGCGCGATCGTGACGAACGTGTGCACGCGCGGCAGCGAAAGATACGGTATTCGGATTACATAATGAATAATTAATAGTAATGATAATAATAATTAATTATAATATATAATATATATGTATAATATTTATATAATATTTATGTATATTAAATAAATTCTCCGATATATTATACATAAATAATCAATTAACATGTATATATACGTGTAGATATATATATATAAAATTAATTAATTATATATGTATAAATATTACGACTTAGCCCTAAGCTTATAGCTCGACTTAAGATTTAAGTAACCCCACCCCGTAGCGCGGGTGATGCGTCATCCAGGGCGGACACATCTTAAGAACCTAGTAAAATTCTAAAACCGGAAGCTCCGCCGTGACGACAGGCCAGCTGCCTTTTTTGTTTCTTTGGCGGAGACCACTCGTCCTCATTCTCTCTTTCTCTTTCTCTCCCTCTCATTCTCTCTCTTTCACACTGTACGATATCTTTCATTAGACAAACGTAACCGCGCGCGCGAGCTATCCGTTTCTCCATCTTTACTGTTTTCACGTCCAAGAAATAAAAGAGAGAGGTAAGGGCCCGAGGAGAGGAAAGGGGTATTACTCTCTCGTGCATGAACATCCGATCGGAGGTCGATTCGCAAACGGATCCGTCTATAAGATACATCGCTCTAGGGCTCCGCTCCTCGTCGATTCGTGCAGACGCGTATGTACATCGAGTAGAATATCCGAGAAACACGCGGATAATGGATATTAATGGATGCTGGGAGGAGAAGAGAAAGAGAGGGGGGGGGGAAGAGAGTTAGAGAGCGAGAAATTGCGAAAGCTAGAATAAGCGAGAACGAGGGATAATCGCATAAAACGATCGAGAAAGAGATTGGAGAACGTCACGCGCGCGCGGATCATTGCAGAATGAATTATTATCGCTAACGTTCTCGTTCTTCCTATTCGCGAGTATATAGTGTACGCGAAAAAAAAAAAAAACAGAGAGAGGCAGATCCTCGAAGAAGAGAAGTTCCCGCTGAAATCGGACGTATTCCGATGATGATGCGGTGGTTTCCTTTTGCTTCCGCTGGCTTGTCTTCTTCCGCTGCGCGCGCACCAAGACCGATGACAATCCTCGTTGGAAACTGCATCGACGAGAAACCGCTTTCGCACATGTCCGTCCGTCCGTCCGTCCGTCCGTTCGTCGTCCATTTGTTCCTGATTTTCCCCTTCTTGCGATGGCTCCTTCTTCTGACTCTTCGATGGACAGCGCACTGGTTGTAACAACCGGGGGAGGGAAGGGAGAGACGAGCAATGGTTTGCAAATGTTCGGTGGTGACGGCGATAGCGCCCAGGATCTTAGGACCCGTCCACGCCATCTAAAAAAGTTCATTAACGCATTAATGCATTTATATAAAGCTTGGTTAATCTTTTCGCGACGATAGAGAATCAGATAAAACCTTATTTCCACTCCAAGACCCATATCAATTTTTGTATAAACTTGAAATATTACACTGAGGGAAAAATTTTTTTAAATCAAATAAATTTGTTTTCTGGAAACTTTTGCTTTAAATGCGAGGAACTATTTATTTCATTTAAGCAAAAGCATTTAATTTTAATTAAATATGCATGTCTTATATTAATTTTAATTAAATATGCATGTCTTATATTAAGTACATTATTTTCACTTATATATTTTTTATATTTAAATACTATTTTCGTAAAATATATACTATAATTTATTAAATTAAATATATTATTTTTTAAATTAAAAAATTTAAAATTCTTGGGAATAAAAAATGCATTTTAATCAATATTTTGTGAAAATTAAAATACAAATATTTAATTAAAAATTATATTTTTTTAAGCATATATATATATATATATATATATATATTTTTAAACATATGTAAATAAATACTTAACTTAAGCACACAGACGTTTTGAATACAAGTAAATACGTGATTAGTACCCACCAAATAAATAGCTTTCTCGAGTTAACTAAAATTTTTTTATTTCAAGATAATTTTTTCCTCAGTGTACAAACATGAAGAAACCATTCCAAAACCCATATTAATTTTTTTACAAACTTGGAATATTACAAACATGAAGGAAAATATCTAGATTGTCACGTGGGTTTTTTGGACTAGAGACTTAAAAATATTGAAATTAAAGATGTTCTTATTGATCATCGTGGACAAATCATCAGGATGATGAGACGAACAAGCAAGATTTGCCCTCCTGTCCCCTGGTATTTGGGAGATTTGCTCTGGATGGCTCGGACGCGTACCTTGATTGGACGAGTGTGGGGCTCACGATTGCGGTTGCGGCGTGTTGTGGTCCCGCTTGTCTCCCGCAGGAGGCGGCGGCTTTGTCACGGGTTTCTCCTCGTTGACCGGCGTGGGCGGCGCGTCCTTTCTCGGTGGCATTCTTTCGTTTATGGCGTCCAAGCCCTTGGCCTCGGCGAACGAGGTGATTTTGTGATTCGGCGAGAAGCCTTGGAGAGCTGGATGAAAGAGAGAAATCAGTACAATATATCAGAAGACGAGATGCAAGAGGTCAAGATTCTCTCGAGCGTTACATTATAATATGATGAGACATTATTATCGGCGAACAATAATTGAAGAATCGCGTTCCACTTTTTTAATAGGATGATTAGGAACTGTTGGTCGCGCTCTTGAATTTCAAATTAAATTACCATTTTTCTCAATGGCGTTATCAAAATGACATCTCATAGAATTCTTACCGTTTTTCAGAGAAGTCTTGCCGCCGGATAATGCACCAAGCGGTAAAGCTCCAGTTGGCGTCAAACCCTTCAACTGCAGCACGCTCTCGCTTTCCTCTCTGTGAAATACAAAAAATTGAAATTTGTAATATTAGAAATTTTTTTTATATCAATTATGCAGGGTGGTTTAAAAGTCTGGAAATAATTATCTCCGAAAATAATGGTCCTGTGGAAAAATATTTCAGACAAAAGTTGTAGGGTTTTAAGTGACGCATTAGAAAGTAATATTAGTATGATCTTGAAGAGTGTTGTTAAAGTCACGTGAAGGTCATCTTAAATTTCTTAAATGGAACCCCCTATTTTTAATTACATATTCTTGTAACTTACCTCGAGAGCTTTTCAAAACACTATAATAAAATATTTTTTCATTGAGCACTTTCCGAGTTATGAGACTTGAAGTCATTTCTTAATTTTACATAAACCATAAAATATCTGGAAAAATATTCATTTTTCGATTATCTTACCTAAATACTTTTATGTACAAAATCTTCTTTACACCAATTGATTCCTCTCATTATTTTGTACATAAAAGTATTAAGGTAAGATAATAAAAAAATGAATATTTTACGATTTATGTAAAATTAAGAAATGATTTCAAGCCTTATAACTCGGAAAGTACTTAATGAAAACTAACTTAATTATAGTTTTGAAAAGCTCTCGAAATAAACTACAAAAATATGTAATAAAAAGTAGGGAGTTCCGTTTAAGAAATTAAAAGTGATCTGGACCTTACGTGATCGTGACCTTAACAACACTCTTCAAGATCATAGTAATATTACTGTGTAATGCGTCACTTAAAACCCTACAACTTTTGTCTGAAATATTTTCCCACAGGATCACTATTTTCAGAAATAATTGACCGTTTCTAGACTTTTAAACCACTCTGTATATTACAATAATTATATAAAATAAAGAGAATCTTCGTTGTAGATAATATCATGATTCCAAGCTATTTTTCATTTGTAAAAAAATCCATAATCTATAATTTTGCCATTCAGAATTTTTGTTTAAGCTATATTAAAATTTTCTATATTTGTATTAAAATAAAAATTTGTATACATCTAAAGGAGGATTATTTTCCATTATATTCGCTAACCTCAGCACGGAGAAGACACGCGCCATTTTACCGATGGCTCTAATCTTGTTTCTGATGACTTCTTTACGTAGATTAGCTGCTGCACCTATAAATACCAGAGACGCATCTTATGATATTCGCATGATAGTGAAATATTAGCGTCTAGATCATCCAGTGACGACCAACATAGCGAGAGAACTATATCAGTGATTGCTTCAACAATTTATAATTTATAATTTAAATAAAAGTAAATCGACCAGTGTCATAATTTCTCGTAAATTCTTCCTAAATCGTTTACTCAAAAAAAGGAGCTATTATACAGGGCGTCCCATTTTAATGTCCCACCCCAAATAACTTTCTTATTTTTAATTTTAGAAAAAGATGTTTCAGACAAAAGTTGTATGGTTTCTAGGGGGACATAAGATGGTGCCATTAGTTTGACTTTGAAGACTCACATGAAGGTTACGTAAAAGTTATTTTGAATTTCTTAAATGGAACACCCTATATATTTTTGCATATTTTTGTAGCTTATCTCGAGAGCTTTCCAAAACACTATAAATAAACATTTTTTCATCTAGTACTTTTCGAGTTATGAGGCTTGAAATCATTTCTTAATTTTACATAAACCATAAAATACCTTGTAATATTTTTTTAATCGAAAAATGAATATTTTACAAGATATTTTATGGTTTAAGTAAAATTAAGAAATTTGATTTCAAGCCTCATGACTCGAAAAGTACTTGATAAAAAAATGTTTATTTATAGTGTTTTGAAAAGCTTTCGAGATAAGCTACAAGAATATGCAAAAATATATAAGATGTTCCATTTAAGAAATTCAAAATGATCTTCACGTAACATTTATGTGACTCTTCAAGGTCTAACTAACCATCTTATGTCCCCCTAGAAACCATACAACTTTTGTCTGAAACATCTTTTTCTAAAATTAAAAATAAGAAAGTTATTTGGGGTGGGACATTAAAATGGGACACCCTGTATATTTCACAAATATTTTTACACCAAGATTAATCCATAATCTACTTGCGATACACCTTAATTAAGACTGATACGGTTTCGCCACGTCGTCGTCACCGATTTGCCTCGCGATCATCGCGCTTGCAAATCATCTGCAATGACTCTCGAACGTTAACCACTACGTTATCCATACTACAGAGCTTACCGGGGGCATTACGTTATTAATAATCACTCGTTATTCTCATCTGGTCACGCCAAGACAACAATGTCAAACTACAGGCAAGAAGTCTGCGCACGTCGGAATAATCGTGTGAAGCAATCGAGTGGTAAAAAAGAAAAGGAAAAAAAATTGCGCGTGACATTCGTCGCGTTCGCAAACGGAATACGCATTCTTCGCGACAAAGCAAAGAAAAAAAAAAGAGAGAGAGAGAGAAAGAGAGGACTGTTAATTCATCAAATCGCGAGAGTCAACAAAACGCGTCGAGAATACGTAGGATTGCGAACGCGCGTGCACTTGAGCAAGCTGCATAAAAAACGTGCGCCAATACACATAGCGTGTAAATTTCTCGCAAAAACATACTACAACGTGTCCATAAGTGTGTGTGTGTGCGTGTGTTTAGACGCATAAATTCGAGATAAATTCGATGCGAGAGAAAAAAAGCATGCGCATGCTGAATAAGCGCGAGAAAATCACTCTCTAAAAGTGAATCAGTGTATTATCACTGAAAAACAGTAAATAGTCACTGATTAGCAGCAGTTATAAGTACAGCACTGTAAATCAGTGTGATATTTTATTGAAAGAATCAGTTAATAATTTTGACTGTTTCAATCAGTAATATTTCTCAATATCAGTAATATTTCTTTCGTTGTTGTCAGTAATATTTAACTAGAATTCATCTCTCTATCTATTTCATATAAAATTAAAAATTTTATTTATATTTACTAAATATTTATTATATTAAAAATTTTATTTTATTTATATTACATGCATATTGAACTTGTTATTTTAAATAGATAACGAACGAATAATTTTCATTAAGTCGCCAGATATTTATTTGTTCGACTTATAAAGATCGATTTAATATCTGAAGCCTCTCTATGAGATTGTATCAGAAATTAAATCGAAGTAATACTTCTAATTTTAAATGTCGCTCTTTGCAAACTTTATATAATTCTTGTAACTAAAATTAAATACAAGAGAGATAGCGATTGTAAATGAACGAACTAGCGATTACTGGTTTTAAAGTAAAATTTACTGATTTTACAGTGCATTTTATTTTAACTGACCATAATCAGTGAGATATAAGATAAAATAACAAAAAAATAAGCGTTTCCCCTGAAGATCAGTAAAATACTCACTGATTCTCAGTGTAATCTTATTTTACTGTTTAAATTAGCGATACTTTCACTGATTCACTTTTAGAGAGCAGGTACGAACCATCGTCGGTCGCTAGAATACAAACTCTTATCGTTACCACTTCCCCTTCAGGTAAATCACTTGCTACTTCGAGGCTCATTGTCGGCGCGAAGGAGTTGCCCTCGTCCATCTCGTGACGATTCCGACTCGAATCAACGCGAATTAAAGCGGCCCGATGTCGTCGCACCAGGTGACCGCTTTAATTCCCCGACGATGTATTTCCGTCGCGCGGATCGATCATCCCGGATCCCCTCTCCAGCAAGGAACTGGACCTCTTCGTGGGAATCCATCGTTAAAAAGTTCACAGCATTCGACGTGGCGGCAACTCCTTTGCGCCGAGCTGTCGGTTTCCGTCTGTGTTTGTTCGTTAATTGACACAGCGGTCGAGCATTGCCGCTCGATCGATTGTACACGGTACCTTGGGGGGAGAAACGGGGGGGGGGATTCGCTCGCAGCAGCGCTAAAATCATCCGTTAGCGAGAGAGAGAGAGAGAGAGAGAGAGAGAGAGAGAGAGAGAGAGAGAGAGAGAGAGAGAGAGAGAGAGAGCGAAGAGGTAGCGAAGAAGACGGGATTTTTTGCTTGTTCTACTTGTTATTTTTTTCGCACTAAAATAGCGTGCTCAGGTTAAGAAGGGCTCGTCGGAACTGGCAGGTCCCCAGACAGCACAAAACGGTCAAAAGATGTCTTAAAGATGTCTAAGGGACTTTAAGACGTCTTCAAGTCATCTTTTTGATCTCTTTTGGACATGTGTGCTGTCTGGGATCTACGTCATTTGAATTTTAATCGCGCGTTTTTAACCGTTCCTCGTAATTTCTGTCAAGTTGACCGGAAAATTGTACTCTTGACAAGAGAACAAAAAAAAAGGAATCCCGGGTCAAAAATATCGACGAAACGCGATCGGGTACTCGCGTTTCCGGCTTCCTGATGATTTACGGCCGTGGATCCGCGATCCTTAGACCGCTGTCGCGATAACGTATCGCGTGATTTGTCATTCCGCAGAGGGGGATACGAAATTGCAATCTCTCCTGTCGCTCTCGCGAATCTCTGGTCGAGGCGACCGGGGCGTTTTGCTTTCGGAAATAGCGGGCCATCCGAGACGATCGATGGACGTCACCGGAGGGAACGAAGATTATCGAGGGAAAAAGAGAGGGTAGCCCGAGGTTTCGAGAGACTCGAAATGCACGTCGCGCTGACGGGTTCCTCAAATAATCGTCCAACTTGGTTAAGGGGTTATGCCTACTTGGGATCGGGAAAATTACGTGATTTTCAAGAATTTTTTTGCCATTTTTGTAAGTGTTTATCGAAATTTACAAAGCACTATCAAAAAGTACATATTTTGAGGTAAACGTACAAATTTTTTTATGAAAAAATATTAAAAAATGAAGGAAATTTACAAAACACTATCAAAAAGTACATATTTTGAAGTAAACGTACAAATTTTTTTATGAAAAAATATTAAAAAATGAAGGAAATTTACAAAACACTATCAAAAAGTACATATTTTGAGGTAAACGTACAAATTTTTTTATGAAAAAAATATTAAAAAATGAAGGAAATATGGCTCTTTTCCTAGAACGTCCGTTTTTTTACATCACTTGCCGTGACCAGTTTCTTAAAAACTATTGCTCCGATCGAACTCAAATTTTACGTGCTTATTTGTTATTACAATAGGCATGGCCTGGACGAAGGGTTTGGTAAAATTTTGATTTCTACAAGAATGACAACAATTTTACGAAAGAGTCAATTTTTCGAGGTGAACTGATTTTGGTTTTCTTGCAATAAACAAAAAAATTTTAACCGAAATAAAAAAATCCTTCGTCCAAGTCCTGCCTATTGTAATAACAAATAAGCACGTAAAATTTGAGTTCGATCGGTGCAATAGTTTTTAAGAAACTTTGGTCACCGCAAGTGATGTAAAAAAACAGAGAAGAGCCATATTTCCTTCATTTTTTAATATTTTTTCATAAAAAAATTTGTACGGGTACCTCAAAATATATACTTTTCGATAGTGTTTTGTAAATTTCGATAAATACTTATTAAAACGGCAAAAAAATTCTTGAAAATCACGTAATTTTCCCAAGTAGGCAAAACCCCTTAAGGATCGGTCGCGCATCGGGGGTCAATTAAAACGACACGGTTCCGTAATCAATCGAGATTATCCCTAAATTAGGTATCGGATTTATAGGCAATTATTCGATGCATCGCGATATCACGCGAGTGCGTTTCAATCTCGCGTAATCTACGAAATTTACGAGAGAGAGAGAGAGAGAGAGAGAGAGAGAGAGAGGGAGATTTGCCCTCGATTATACGGGATTTTCTTCCTATGCACGACGGAACGAGAAACGTCGTGCCAAGTGAGTATCGAGTTTAAACCGTAATTTTCGCGTAAGAAGATTATTTTGCGAGAGGTTTATTATACGGAATGTTAGAGCGGGAATATATACAGGGTGTCCCAAAACTCATAATCAAACTTTCAAAGACAGATTCCTGGGATCATTTGGAGACGATTTTTCCTCAGCAAAAATGTCGAAGGCCATTTTTTGCCATGTTCCCGATTTTTGTCATTATATATTTTTGCAATTAAGCCTTAAATTAAAACTCAACTAAAGTAAACTCTATTTAAAATTAATCGAAGAATGTGGTTTTGTCAATATTTTATTTCTACAAGGCTTAGTTTACGAAAAACCCCTTATTTCCAATCACTTGTAATTCGAAA